GATTTGATCTGTGATACCGCAAAGAAACAAGTCCAGACTTCAGGGTTTTTCTCCTGTGGAGACTGTGAAATGGATAAGGAGTGTACACTCTGCTCTTTTTTTTGCACAATCATTGCTGTTTGTTGAAGAGACCAGTTTATGGAGGTTCCAGGGCTAACCTATGGGACAGTCAGGGACAGACAGGCAGGACTTCTTGTCATCTTGGTAGACTTAATGCCCCAGCTCTTGACTTAGGGAAACCCAATTTGGCTTCTGGTCCATGCTGAGTATTTTAGTAAGTATCTCAGTAATTCCATAGTGTTGCTGAGCCTTCATTAATGCACAGTTAGTGTGCATGTGGGTTGCTCTGGATTTACTCAGTGTTTTCAACCTGAGGAGAATTAGAGACAGTGACTAGGCCCATCCTTGTGGGGATTATGTAAAGTCCTACAGTTTTGCAATACTAGGATTTTTTTTAAAAGGCATGGTACTCAGTTTAGACTCCATACAAGAAAAAATGGTTTGGCTTTTCTATTAGCTAGACTACTAATATTCATAGTATTAAAGCCATCCTCTGCATGACAAAAATTGAGAAAGCTTCAACTAGAAAGATGAGCAAAGGCTATGTACTGCTAATTCACCAAAGAAGTAGGCGAAGGAAAATTAATTTTACTATTTTCATGCTACTCTTAGATGATGTAATCTGTTTTGTGGCTTTCTATCTACAGATGAGGACTCTCAAGTTTTTCATCTCTGGTTCTAATGTTTCCTTAGGGCATTGGATTCACATATCCATCCTCACTTACATTTCTTCTGTAGTGGCAAATATTTTTTAAAAAGACAATCCCATGTTTGGAAAAGAATGATGTTCCAACATCCTTCAGACCTGCTTCTCTCCCCTAGCATTCACCCAGGGGCTTAAAACATGAACTGAAGGAAATCCATGACTCTTCCCTCCCTCCCCGTCACACACAACTTCTATGGAGCCTAACACCCATATTTCTTGAATCTGTCTTTTTTTTTCTTTTTGGCACCTTGCCTAGATTTCTCCACTTCTCCTTTTGTTCTCTCTGACCCAATCCATTCTTGTTATATTTATTCAAAGAACGCAATTGGAACCATTTGATTGCCTGATTACTGTTTCAGTGATTTTCTGCTTTGTCTGTGGCATTGATTCCCAAGCAGAGGCTGTTCAGTGTGCAGGTGACAAATGTTGTTACATGAGGTGGCACAGACGAGCAAGGCCTGGGTCAGTGTCTCCTAGGCAGAGTCTACGGAGGCTACTAACACCTTGTAATACACAGGACATCAAAGAATTATTTGATAAAAATAATTTAATAGTGCCGAGGTTGAGATGCCAACAGAAAGGCCAAACTCTCTGTCTTCAGCTAAGAAGCCTTTTGGAATCTGGCCCACTTCTCAGTTCATATTCTGTCTCCTCTCCCTTCCAGCATTCTTCCTACACAAAGCCCCTTTCTTCCTTAGAACACACTGGACTGCTCCCTTTCCTGGTTACCACTTTCCCTGTCTCCTCTTTTTTTTTCTTTCCTTTTTAAAATCACTTTCAATAATTTTCTTTTCTTTAAAGCACAAAGTAAATATTTTATTTGTTTTCCAAGGATGGGACCACACAGTATCATAGACAGGGTGAATAACATGAATTGATTTTCTACACTTTGCAAATTAAAAGTCTGATATTAGTGTGTTGGCAGGATCGGTTTGTCTCTGATGTCTCTCTTTGAAGTGTGGACAGTCAGCTTTTCCCTGTGTCTTTCCTCTGTACTCAAGTCCACATTTTCTCTTCTTATAAATACACCAATAATACTAGTTAGGGTCCACCCTAAGGATTTTATCTTGTTTTGTAAAAACACTATCTCCAAATACAGTTATGTTATGAAGTGCTGAGAGTTAGAATTTCAGAAGTGACAGCTAATAGGATTAACTGGAGGGATTAACTGAAAGTGGAGGGATCCCTTGGTTAAGATAAAGAGTTGGCAGAATGAGGAGTAGCTGATTGATTCACAATTCAATCCCAAGCACACATTATGTGCTCACTACAAAACCTAAGTTCCACGGGCACGAAGCTTTGACTATTTTGCTTGATGCTATATCCTAAGCACTTAGATTGATGTCTGGCATATAGTTAATAATATATACTTGCTCAATAAATTAGTCAAATTGGATAGTAATGATGTCTATAGGATTTGGTGACTGATGATGCAAAAGAGTGTTACCAATGATTTGTTGGTTCCCTTTGGTAGAAGAAGCCCCTATAGTGGAATCTTTTTCCTGTTGGTGTCCCGAAGCTAATGGGAATGAAACAGAACAGAGAGCTGCAACAGCGTACATTCACTCAAAGGCTGAAGGAAGAAGAAGTGGGAGTATCATTGGCAAATCTGCTTGTCACTCCAAGAAGTGGAGGACTCTCAGGAATAGTGAGAATAACAAGGGAGAGCCCAATGCTAACGGGGCAGAACCTAGCAGACCTTTTCTTGGAGTAAGTTACGATCTTCCAGGAACCCAAACGCTACTTCTTCTCACCCCTTTCATGGTCTGGTGTTTCCTGTCCTGTTGTGTGGGTTTTTTTTTAGCCTTCATGGGGGAGAAGAGAAACCAGATGAGTCCTAAGGCAAGTTGGCCATATTATGGCTCCAGAAAGAAAAGTTCTCAAATTATCAATATGTCTACATAAAGAACTGTGTAATAATCTGATCCAAAGGTTCAGACAGCCAAGGAGACACACATAATGAAAGTAGAGATGCTATATAGTTTCATCTCATTCCAGTTGCCCACTGGACATCTGCATGCTAAATCAGGAGTCAGTGTTTTCAATAAAATGTGTCTTTGAATCCCTGAAAAGTAACCGCAATAACAGATATCATGATAACCTACACATCAGATAATTCACACACACACACACACACACACACACACACACACACACACACACACATTTTGAAATAGAGTTTCACTGTGTAGCACTGGCTGTCTTAGAATTTACTATGTAGCCACACTGGCCTCAACAGTAATTCTTCTGCCTCTGAGTCCATATTTTCTTAGGATATCCCCAATAGTGGAAGACATCCACAAAACACACATTATTGTTGGTTCTTCTACTTAGATCTTTAAAAAAACAGGGACTTTTTTGACTCTTGGGTGAAAGCAGCCCACTCCCAAAGTGATACCAAAGTCACATTGCCCTTCAGAAAAAAGTCTATCAAGGAAATGGTCCACTTGTGGAGCTACTGAACCGTTTGTGGTTATAGACGCTTCAGTAATCAAATGGCCAGTGAGCCCTTCGCCACAGAGACCAAGCGTTTAAGGGGGGGATTCTGGGCTACAAGCAAAATATTTGATATTGTCTCATCCACTGGGGATGAAGGAGGTTGCCCAGGAAAGGCAGGTTGCATTTTAGTACTTTAGAGTGCCACCTAAGGAAAGAAGTGACAGCTAATGGGATTAACTGGGAGAAAGTGGAGGGATCCCTTGGTTAAGATAAAGAGTTGGCAGAATGAGGAGTAGCTGAGTGAGAGATACAGAAAAGTGAAAGTCTGTGTGAAGAGTGAGATGGCCGGATCGAATGTAAATGTGGGGATATTCTCAGGGACTGAGGGTGAGAAGAGCCCGCAGAGTAACCACAGTGATGTGGATTCAGAAAAGAAAAAATAACCAAGAGGCTTACATATCAGGAGGCAAGTAGGGATTCCAAATCTGTGAGGCGTGGAGACTGCAGAGTTGAGAAGACAGCTGGCCCCACCTGTCCCCAGAGAGACTGCCTTGTGTGGAGTTCTTAGCTTAGCCTAGATGGCTGCATTTCAGGGTAATGTCAGTTGCTGAGGATGCAGAACCCTGGCTCTGGAGTCAAAGTTATTAATAATCAATCTTGGGCTAAAGCAGTTTGTAGAGGCCCTTGTTATAAAGGATCTCAACTCTTGGCATCATAAACCATGCAATTACAAACAGCGGTATCACCCGGTTGTGGTGGCACACGCCTTTAATCCCAGCACTTGGGAGGCAGAAGCAGAGGCAGGTGGATCTCTGTGAATTCGAGGCCAGCCTGGTCTATAGAGCGAAAGACATGGAGAAACTCTGTCTTGAAAAATCAACAACAAAAAACATGGTATCATCAGCTAGCCTCGAACCCATCAAACGTGTTCTCCTCGAGGATTTCTGTAAGCTTGGGTCTCCTTGGTGGCGAGTGGGGATCACACTCCATTTGTTACTAGGTGCCCTCTGGAGTGAATGGAGACAAGAAAGTGAAAACAGAGAACAGGTGCTCCTGGCGCATCATGTGTTGAGCTGAAGGATTGGGCAGGGAACCAAGGCGCGCTAGGGACAAGGTCAGAACTGGAAATCACTTCCGGGTCATTAAACCTAGAACCTAGAACGAGAGGATCAGCAGGTCATGTATATGGAAAGTAAAGAACGGTTGGACTAGGTAAAAAATGAAGTCCAGTTGCTAGGGATAAGACAGAGGAGGGCCTGATAACATGGCTTCCAGTTGGTCTGGTAATTAAAACTTGCTTTCTTCCCTGCAGAAGCTTTGCGATTTAAAAAACAAAACAACCGGAGCAAAGAATAGGAGAAAACAGCCAAGCCACCCCAAACATGGCTGTTTTGAATTATTAACGCCAGGCAATCTGGGACTAGTGAGGTGACTTTGAGTATCCTTAGCCTGTGGGCCTCTGCCTCTCCTTTCGCAAATATTAACCTTGTAGATCAAATGATCTCTGGCTTTAGTTCTGCAACACTAAAGCATTTGCTGTCTTCTAACTCAAATCCCAGATACTCTCTCCTAATGCTCAGGAGCCTGTTTAGAGCCCCAGATCCCACTAAACAGGGCTTCTGTTTAGGTCAGGCTAGCCCTATGTGTTGTCTTTCTAACATCCTGAGTTGAAGCCTCTGCAGATCTTGGTATCTTTCTGGAAATCACAAGTGACCTACTTTCTCTAGAATGGAACGTGACCACATTGTTTATAGTTTGTTTGTTTGTTACCAGGCAATCGAGATGAAGACTCCGGGCACGCTGTGTCACTTGTCCTTTGTACCTTTAGTGAGTCGGCAGAAGGAAGAGTGTGAAGGCTGCTTCGGGAAGCAGAGGAGGCTCAAAAGAAGGAAGAACGGTAACAGCAGAGAAGCAAGATGGCCGTGGTGGACAGGGCAGAGAGAAGGCCTCGGTCGTGCAGAGGCGGGTCAGAGAGCCTTTTCTGCCTATGGGGAACAGAAGACAGCAGCACCATCCAGCCGATGAAGTCCAGGCCCGGCAACAGCAGACCACACAGCACTCGACTCCTTCCAAACGGTGAGCTTCACAAATGTGTTTCTATGATCTGAATAGTGTACACCCAGCCGATTTACACCATAAGCGTTTCTTGGCAGGAGCTGCCTTAATGCAAGGTCTCACAGCCCCTGGGAGGAGCACTTCACAAACTCCATGGCTACGTGCCTTTATCTGGAAGCTAAGCTGAAGTTTTAAAGGATCCACACTCTTTTGTCTCTTTGAAATGAGAGTTGACTTGGATTGTGCAAACTATTTCCTTCTTGTTTCTTCATTACCACACATATAATTTCCATCACAAGATGCTCCTCACTGGATGACTCACCATCCTGTATGGACAGAGAGCAAAGCCGGATTCGAACTTCAGCATTATTGATGCCATGATGTCCCTCAGAGGTCATCTTGGTTATTTCTAATCTCTCTGTAGTACACACACACACACACACACACACACACACACACACACACACACACGAAGGAGGGAGAGTGAGAGGGAAAGGGGGAGATAAATAAATCGATAGATAGGTAGATAGATAGATAGATAGATAGATAGATAGATAGATAGATAGATAGAGATAGATGAGAGAGAGCAAGCGAGACTTCATAATACAGAAGGAGCTTACAGGTTTGTTACATTTTCCCCCTTTGCCTCCTTCATTTCCTTCTAGTAAGATGAATCTGGGAGATCAGAAGGATGGAAGTTTGGCCCTAATTGGCCATCTTGAGGGCCGTGTACACATGCTAGCTTCAATATACAATGAAAAAAACCTTCACTGTTATGTACATGGGCTCCAGTGAAGTGTAACTTTCTCAGAGACCCCTTCAGTGGGGACACTCTTAGGCTGTGATTCTTTCGTGAGTGTGATTTGGAGAAAGGACTAAGGAAAGACTAAAATCTGTAAGAGGAAAGGAATTAGAGGTGTGAGACTAATGCAGCCTTTGGAAGACAGAAGCAATCCAATAAAGAGAGCATAGCTTAGAGGCTTTAGACTTTACATGAAGTCAGGGTTGTCAATGTTTTGTACATCTCACTATAATTTTGTGATTTTCTTATCCATTTATTACTACATCTAATAAATCATTAATATCCAATGATACTGCCTATCATTAACAATGGTCATGAAAAAGGGTTTTCATCTGTAAACAATTCTTCAAAATGGAATATTTGGGGAATGATTCTTAGTAAGCGCTGGCTCTTTGACAGTTACCACAAAGGCCATGTGTGCCCATCAGAATGGAAGTGATTAATACCAGACAAATTCAATTCAGTTACATGCCCGTATGATTGTGCAAGGTTAAGGTTGAGTAAGAACTTTTTCATTTAAGAATTGGTGCAGGTGCCCTATAATTGATGTATAGGTACCTGGCACTCTCACTAACATTTCAAAAGTGATTGCTTATTTTATTTATTTTAATCTAGTCAACATTATTATTCTCAAAACTAAAAAAAATCTCTTCTGTTATTTTTCTCTCTCTTCTATCCTTTCCTTGTGTCAATATTTTAAAAGATTCAGTGACCACTGGAACAATACTTAATGTGTTTAAATCTTCCTGGGCCCAAAGCAACCATAGCTCCTGCGTGTATAAATGAAATTCCCAGAGCTAGTAAAGAGGGAACAAAATTGTGCTTGGGTTTCAAGATTCCAGTAGAAGTTCCTGAGGAGTTCAGCTTCTGAGTACAGGCCTACGTGTGATTTTCCAGGAATAGCCACAGGCAATTGTGATTTTTGTAACCAGCAGGCCTGGGGGGGGGGGAAGGTGCCTTCCCCAACCTGTCTTGGGGCACACCTAATGCATTATAGTTTCCAAAGGGGAAACCGTTGAGGACTCAGCTCCTTCTCCAACCTCTCCTTCATGTTACTCCTTCACATTCTTATCTGGAACTTTCTTGCCACCTGAGGCTCAGATTAGCTCCTTCTCCAACCCCTCCTTCATGTCACTCCTTCACATTCTTATCTGGAACTTTCTTGCCACCTGAGGCTCAGATTAGGATTTAGGGCTAGTTCTTACCTGTATGTTGTAATCCCTTCACAGAGGCTGGGAGGGAGTCTTTTTTCTTTCTTTCTTTCATTTATTTGTTTGTTTATTTATTTATTTATTTTTAAAATTACACTCATATTAATCACATTGTGGTATTCATAGATTACATTCACAGTATTAATTCAATTATATATACACACACACACATATATATACACATTATATATTTAATTTTAAATATTGAATGTCATTTCTTGAAGGGGGTAGGAGGTCTTAATTACAGGCTTACAGCACAATGGGAGGACCCAGGAGAGCAGAAGTTCGCTACTGATGTTTTACAATCTTGCATCTAAGCTGTTAACGCCCATTATTCAGGATACACAGACAAGGAACTTCCCTTAGGTATTCAGGAGGGTGGAACCTGGCAGGGAATTAGCATTGGGAAGATATCAAGGTCAAGGTCTGCAAGCAAGGCAACAGTTACCCAAAACGGGGGCCAGAGCCTTGCAGGTCCCCCTTTTATTAAAAAAATGAGCTTCTGACTTGGGTTGCGTGGGACGTCAGCAGGTCACCTTACCCATCATGGAGACGCCTGCACAGGCCACACAGGTGCTCTGTCTTAGGTTGGTGAGTGCCCCCCCCAGGTATTACCGTCTCTGAATACTCATTATCATACTGGCTCAATCGTGTGTGAGCTGCATGGTTAATTGCTGCCAAAGATCTGGGAGGGAGTCTTAAAGGTAGATTTTCCCTCTGACTTGGAACCCAGGCTGTGTTTATTCCCAGCTCTTTCTTCTCCTACTCCCTTGGGCTCCCTTTTATCACTAGTGAAATGGAACCCATGCCTAGGATGATCCATCTGTCCCTCAGAGGTGTGTCACTATATGAGCACAGAACTTCCAAGGGGAAGTTATTGCTTTCCCCACTTCCAGCCTTCTTCTGGTCCATCCCAGTAGGAGGTTTGACTTGTTTACAGAGTACTGTGCTCCTGACATCAGAACTGCCTAGGGTTCCAGTGTGGCCCTTTGGTTGAGTGACCTTAGGTGACTCATTTGAGTTTTCTGAGCTTCTGTTTTACCAGAAATTAGGACTCTAATACTTGTCCCATGCAGTAAATAGTGCTGGAGAAACATATCCTACCCAGCAGGCGGCAACTCAGTTCTTGCAACTAAGCTGTTCATCGGCTACAAACCACGGACACGTGGCCACTTCTCTTGTGCTGTCTAAGCAGAAGTCAGGCATATTTTATGGCAAAGGACTTTAAATGTAAATACTCCCTGAGGCAATTAATGGCTTGTTAACATCTGATTACTTTCTTTGCTACCATTTTCTGATTAATTATAGAAGGAAAAGTTGGTCTGTCTACCTGGTCGAATTTTTCTTTCCTTTTGCTACTTCTTGCCAGCTACTTTTTCCTGTGAGAACTGACATTTATTTTGTATTCCTGGAACAGTGATGCTCTAATCTTTCTGTGGTGTCTCAGTGACAGTGGCCTTGTTCTTCATCACTTTGATGAAGTTGATCATCAAAGCAAGCAGGAGCTGCGAGAAATGTGTTGATGAATTAGAGAATTAGAGCAGGCCCCACAAAGTTCGTAGAAGGCCTAGGGAGAGTTTGATCCCTGTTGCTCACACTCAGTCATGTATTTGTTGATCCACCCTTCCCTGACCTTTCCTTCTTATTTTGTTCTCCAAATTTTTTCATAGTTCTGAGGTAGCTTCCCAAACATATTTCCTTTCCCTGAGAACTTGATTTGGTGTCTGATTTTGAGTAACTTTAAAAATATATGTGATTTTTTTTATATTTCTTTTTTAAATTTTTTTGAGAATATAGCATTATACAGACTGAGCAGGTCGTATTTATGTGTTTGGGAATATACAGTATGTAATACATGTGTAACAACAATTAAAGAGAAAATAATCTTCAAAAGATCTTTGAGGGGTGGAAATCAACACAACGATGTGATGATACCACTGGAAAACAAAATTAATGCACTTTTTTTGGTAAAAGGAAAATAAATCATAAAAAAATCAAAAGTCAAATGAATCTTAAGTGGTGGTTGAATCACATAATCACACCCCACCCCCGTTCAAAGCGGTCTAATCAAGTAGGAAATAACAAGTAAAACACTGAAACACAAAGTGAGAAAATAAAATGTTCATGTTATAGGAGGGAAATGGCATGTTAGAAGTTATTGTGAACTGTAGTCAAACATTTGACTGAAAGTTGGCAGCATGGCTCATGCCTGTAATTCTGGCATTTGGGAGGCTGAGGGAGGAGATTGTCATGAGTTTGAGGCCAGCCTTGGATACGGAGCAAGAACATACATTTAAAAAAATATGACTAATGCAAAAAAAAAAACCTACAAGATATATTGATTCAAACCCAAGAAGATTCACTGCAGTGAACTAATGATTGGAGTTTGGTATATGCAATGACACAGTGTGCCATGGAGACATCAGGGGAAATGCCCACTCAGGATATTATGGACTTCAGAGAGACAGAAGAAATGGCTGTCAGTGAGATGGATGGCCATGGAGGAACATATTGCCTTAGAAACAATCTGGGTTTTACTTTTGGTAGTTGAAAGATCAATTAGTTTTTGAGTGTTATATTTATTAATTTTAGTATTATTAAATTTTGAAACTCATAACAAACCCATTCTGATTTAATAACGGATATTTAAAAACCTAGAAAATTAAATTCTGTACAAATGTAATAGTTTACTTGGCTTTGCGGGGGTGGATGTGATAGATGTATCCTGCTATAGCTTCATCAGGAACTCAAGGATGCAAGTGCATCCCTGAGGAAGGTAACCAACCAGTACCTCCCTTCCAGTTGTATCTATACCTTAATTTATGCTTACACTTGTTATTCTTGTGCAGATATCTTAGTTGATGAACCTCATGTCAAAGTCCCTTTTAATACAATCATCTTCAAATACAAACATTGTTTTGTTTCAGTATAGCTGAAATAAACCAAAAGCTTATAGTCTCAAAACTGTGAGGAAAAACTGAGTTTTCTCAAGCACTCTAGGGAGGGTA